ATCCTGTGAGAGACAAATAAAATATTTGATGTATATATTTTTATTAAAAAAAAAACCAATCAACCAGCCTAACTGTTAATGTTTTATATTTACGGTTAAATAAGCCTATAAATGGGTTTATATATATTTTTCAGATCTTAAAAATAAAAATACGAATTTTATAAATAGATTTTAAAAAATATTTTTAAAATATTATAAAATATAAAAAAAATTAAAAAAAAATAAATTCATATATTATTACTTGCATTTCATGAAAAATAAAAAAATAAAAAATAAATTAAATATTATATTATTCAAAATTTTATATTTATTTAAAAATAAGAACTGTCATCAATTACTCTTATATCTATTGGTATAATAGTATTTCAGTAAAACATCGAAATGAAATCAATTAATAAGCGGACAGTGGTGGTGTAAAATTAATAAATTTGTTTTGTGGTTACTCAAACAACCGTTAATCACTCACTATATAAAAAAAGTTATTAATATTTGATCACTATCATTCATTTTAAAATGTACTGTAATAACATAATAATTGCAACATTACTAAGATACAACATACACACTAGGCTATTAAGACGAAATGATTAAACGGTTATCAATAAAATGTTTACAAAAAAAAAAAAAAGAAATTCATATATTATTACTTGCATTTCATTATATTATTTTAAATAATAAAGTTATTAATTTTACTCAAAAAATGTATAATCGCAAAACTACTATTAAAAGTAAAACTATTTTAAGGGAAGATGTATGGCATATTAATAAAGTAAGGTGAACAGCTCACCATGAACCACTATATTTTCCAATTTTTTCGCCTTCATTATTATGGCCTATCCTGTACATATGATAAATATATGTATATTATACATCATTAATGATTCATAACTAACAAGTACGATTTTAATACAACATGAGCGATAAAAAAATTATATAAAATGTATTACTTATTTAATCCGAAAATTGTTAACGAAAATCACACTGTCACTTGTTCGGCAATCACCATAAAAACAATTATTTTGAAATATTCATTGATCGATTCACTCGCAAAATTTAAAATAAATAGAAATAGTTATGATTTTTGTAACACAAACAATATAATTTATAGTTATCAGCTGATATATCTCTAAAAAACCAAAATCTATAAAAAGATAATTATTTTCAAATGAGTAATAGTGCTTATTAACGAACGTGATTGATATTAACATTTGATTGATACATACATGCAGTAGCGTCGATCTCCTAAAAATTGAATCGGGCAAAAAATATTTAAAAAAAAAACCACAATATCTATATATCGGTCTCGATGGCGTTTTTACCCCAAAAAATATTAATGTTAAGCTTTAATATTGCAATGAAGCTTTCGTAGGGTGTTCGATTTGGCAACCAAACTTCTACGACTAATATGAATCGGTCCCACATTAAATTTTCAAAAGATGTCGGGCCAAGGCTCGACCTCAAAACAGGGTTCGGCGTCAATGTATACAGAACGAAAACATAATTAAAACTTATAAAACTTGTAAAACATAATTAACCACCAACATATCAGGTATGTAATGCGATGAAATGATTTTTATTTATTTATTTTATTCAAGAAACAGAGCAAATAATACACGAATAAAGGTTAGTTTAGTTGTAATCCGTTTATATTTTTTTCATACTGTGTAGTACTTGTGTACTTACTGTGAACACGTGGATATTTGCTATTTACGACTAACGAAAGCAGATCAAATTTCAATTTGATTTCGTGCATAATGGTTCATTGTGATTATTCAAATACTACGTATAAACATCGTTAAAAATATGCGCAAGTGTTGAAATACGTAAATACTTTGTATTAGCTAGAAATCCATAAGGTAGTGTATAATTTAATATAAAATGTTGTGCATTTGCTAATTTGGTCAATAGGGATCAACTATGGATCGATGCTGCAACATCTCATATATTTTTGTAATTTTTTCAATTGGATTTTGAAGGGATTTTTCGTTATTTTGAAATTTAAAATCTACTTATATCGATAAAATTGCATTTATAATCTGGTCGGTTGAAATTTGCTAAATAATCTCCACCTGCAGGTATCTAATTATTAGTGTCATACGTGGTATAAATTGAAATACCTGGGATACCGACATAGTTGTACGTTTTTAAATGTCAACAATTGTCCTTGATTTACCATGTTTGCATATATCATATAACCGTGAAAACGTGAGATATTCAAATAGGCTCAGTGCCTGAGAGTACACGCGTCAAGTACTATTCGCTATTGCTAAGCCTTGAGTAGGCGTATGAAATAAAACAATTTATCAATTTTTTCCCTCACGTACGCCAATGAAACAAAATAATATAAAAATTTAACAAATTGATTTCATCCCAGGGTACAAGTATATACGACTTGAGATATTACGAATCGATTAGTTTGTCATCACGACACGGAATTAGTTGGAAGCGCCGAGAGGATGAGTGGCAGTCCACTCGTGTTTACGAACAATTAATTCTCGTTAAATAAGATCGTGTTCAATCTCGTTTGGCTTGTAAGAGATTTGTTATAATATTCAAAGTACACGACAAAGTCTTCGGCTGTCGGCAATAAATGTATACGTCATTAATGTTTAATTGCGCACAATTCGTAAGGGAAAACAACTACTTCGAGATAAAACGAATGTACAACGATAGTTACAATATAACAGTAATGATTTATTATTATCTAAATGTAGACTAGCCTTAATGGACACTACGACGTCCATTTGTAACGTCGTATTATATGGTGGCATAATCGTTATTCGTTAATACAACAATTTAAAGGGATTTAAACAAATTAATTTTTTATTATTGTTTATTAGCACCTTGATCACAAAAATGTTTGTATCAACAATAGTTTATTTTTAAATTATAACTTTAATAAACGTTCAACATAACCCGTAATTATTGTTTGTTTTTATTTAAATGATAATAATTCTATTCACGAGGTCTTTATTTGTGTTGAAAAACATTTTAAACATACATTTTGAACCTAATCTATCTCGTTTATTTTGAGTACCTATTTTAAAAAAATATGTTCTAATTTGGAACCTTTCAACTGACTACAGTAAAAATGTATACAGTTAAATATATTTTTATCAGTAACAAGTAACAATAATGTTTTTTGTATATACCAGCTATAAATATCATCAATAATTATGATTTATGATTAACAAGTATGGAAAAATAACGTTTCAATATAATAATAATAATATATATAGTGATGTATTTAGTTATTAACGGAATTGGAATAGCAATTATACTAACATTTAAATAATTGTACATAAATCCCCTTCATAAACTTCATTACTTACAGTCAAATCAGTGGTTATGTACAAAGCTGTTGAACACCCCCAAAATGACTATGAAAACACTCAAACTAATTTTATAATACTATATGGCTCGATCAGTAATCCCAGTGCCATTAATAAAACTGAAAATCCAACCGACATCAAATGTATTAAAAAAAAACTTACAGAGCTGTTGAGAAAAGTAAACTAATTCTTTCATATGGATTACTGGGCATAATAGGTACACTAGGAAATGAAAAAGTTGACGATGAAGCAATCAAAGCATCTCTTTTACATCATCTTATTTTCTAAATTTCTAAACATACTCGGACATAAAGAATTATAGATCGGTGGTGGTGCATATTTAAGGAGTTGGGTATAGGCATTATTTAAATTGCGTGCGTGCGCGACTTGTGACTGTGTGCGCAGTGAATGGTTATTAGTATGTGTACGTGTCTTGCACTACACGTCCAAACCATGTACTACCCGCTTTACTTCTTATCTGCTAATTGACAAATAACTACAAAAATTTATAGTAATACACAATAATAATCATTACGTATAAAATAACAATACGCACATAATGTTCTGCCTTCTACATTTTGTATTTATGATCGTTCACCGTTTATTCCAGCGAGTAAATTTAAGTGGTCCACAGAAAAATTTGAACGTTAGGTACTTACAGAATATTTTTGTCGTTATTTCCCAAAAAAATAAGACTCTAGACATGGTATTATGTGGATAATAGATCCATTGCAGCAAACAATGAAAATAACAAGTTAAATATGACCGAAAAAAAATACCTCATCGATTTATTTAACGATAATTATGTAAAAAGCTATTTTAAGCTAAAAGTGGTCCGAAGAATTTAGAGTATGTATTTAGAGATCCATGAGGTCCAAAAGGTTGGCGACCGCTAGTCTGTTCTACATTATTTCTATAACACTATTTCTACATTTCTCTACTCATCAACATTTTGTTATTTTTCAATTTCATTGTTTTGATCTTTAAAAATTTGAAAATTTATTTATTATTTTTTTTATTATTATTGTTTTCTATTTTAAATTATAAAGGATTAAATATTATAATAATAAACGTTGTAAGTATACATTTTATTAAAAAATTTAAATCACAATCAAACGAGTTCAAAAATGAAATTTTAGTGTTCATATTTTCGTATATTTTAAGATTTTTTAAAAAAGTATACATATTTTAAAATAAAATTACTAACCAAATCTTATTGGGATGGATAACAATATTAATCATTGGCTCAACATAAAATAAGAAATTGTGATTATTTGACTTCAAATAAGCCATACTTACTTACACACAATTTTTTTATAATCAAAAGAGAACCTCCATTATGTGATACATGCAATATTCCCATGACGACTAATCATTTTTTCACGGAATGTCAAATACTTGTGTCTTTTATAATCAATTTCACAATCATGAATAAATAAGTCAAGCTCTAGGAACCAACCATCAAAATAAAAATGATAGTAGTGATAGTACTTAAAAAAAGTGAATTATATAATATAATAAAAATGTAATATACTACTCTAATACTAATAGCCATACCACAGATGTATTTGAGATCAATAAAAATAATATTAGAATACAATATACAAGTGAATTGTTTTTATTTTATTTTACAGATTTTTATTAAAATAAAAGGTGCAATAAGGAAAAATAAATGAGACCATTTAAACACAATAGAAAACAAATAATATATATATAATAGTCATTGATTATTTTTTAATAAAACCTCACGAATATCCTTGAAAAACTGATGAAAGTAATGTAGGTTGTGTCTAAAAAATAGAAATTGTTAGTTTATTACCATTTTAACACAGGTAATTATAACTTATCAAACTTACATGGTTAATAATAAACTACCAAGAAGTTCATTGGACATCAATAAATGATGAATGTAGGCTCTAGTATGCTTTCTACAGGCCAAACACGAACATGACTCATTTATTGGGTTGAAATCTTCAAAATAACTAAATTATCATAGTATTAAAATTAATAAGTATCAATAAAAAATATTGTACAATATATAAACAACTATTACCATGTGTCCATTAAACATATCTCAAAACTATTTGATTTATCTACATTATTTTGATCAGTTGTACAACAATGGCTATCCATGATAATAATATCATTTCTGTAACTCAAAATAATAATTTATTTAATTCAGTACAGCAAAAACATAATGAACAACTCACTTGTATTTCAATTCGTAGTTAAATATCAATGCTGAATTTCGTTCAGTTGTAAAAAATGGTAATGATGAGTCGAATATATCCATTCCACTATTTATAAGATCAATTATAGTATCGAGAGTCCACGCACCAAATATAATTTTCATTTTATCTTTTGGGAGACACTCCTTTATTGATGATGAAAAAATAAATATAAATTGGTTAGTTAAATATGAAATTAGATACTTAATTATTTCACATATACCATTGTTTTATTGACAATAGGTAAAATTAAGTTACCAGGAATGTCTTCAACTACAGTTCCATCAGTGAAAAATCCATCAAATAGGAATCCTAATAAATCATTATATTCTGATAAAAATGTTGCTGACCGAATTCTTTCTTGGATATTGTAACCACCTTGGATTGGAGCAATCACACCACTTCCTTTCAAAACCTAATAAATCAGTTTAAAACATATTCTTTTGATGGATTTTAGTGTATGTGGTGAAGCTAGGTCAGTTTTCTAAGTATTGTTTATTATAATAACTTTTTTAATTGAAATTGAGTTAAAATGTACCAAAATAATTATTAATATTTATTAGTGTACACAATAACGGAACGAAAACAGTACAATGCAATGTACATGTGTTCATGTTGAATATTACAGCCAAAATATATACAATTTTAATTATATTTATTAAAATAAAATAATTGAAATACTCTTTTACTTACATAATATGGATATGAATAAATTAAAAATATTATATTCTTTCGAAGATTAAATTTAAATATTAATTTATATATAAGAGTAGATAAATGTTTACTTCTGATTTATGATGCCGTTCTAAACAACTCATGAAAAGCCTGTTTGAAATATTGACTGATTTTTCAATAAGAGAATATGAACTATCCCAATCAGTATCTGATATGCTTAAAGTAACATACATATTGGGTTTAAATACTTCTATGATATCCATGTACCTATATTAATTAATATTTTTTTTTTTTAAAACATCTTTCTTTTTAAAAATTAACAATACATTTAATTTAAATAATTAAATAGACATTTTTTAATAAAAAAACACTTGGTATTCCAAGTGTTTATATGTGTTCAGTTATAACACATTTAAAATAAAATATTTTTCACAAATTTTAACAATTATTTACTTCTCATAATCGATCAATATATTTCCACTTTTTGTTTTAAGAGAAACTTTATCTTTTTGATTTTTACCTCTTGGAGTATTCAAAACACTGTCTATTGTGGAGCAGCAAGAAAGATAATTCTAAAAACATAAAAATTATTCAATAAGAATGGTAAGAATTGTACGTATATTAATTATTCAATAAAATAATGTTTTAAATAAAAACATATTTCATAAAAAAATTTGAATTGCATGGAATCATACCTCGAGCCCGACAAACTTATTCAAACCATGTT